CTATTTCGCCATTCCTGTCCAATTTCGTCGTAGACGAAGTACTGGAGAACGCTCTTACTGGTCTCCAGAACGTAGGTATTGAATGGGCAGCTGGAGAAAAGCTGTGCGATTTAGAGTACGCTGATGACATCATATGCCTGTTCGAATCTATGGAGGATGCGCAATGCGCTCTTGACAGACTATCAAGTTCTGTATCTCCTTTCGGCATGCGCTTTGCGCCTTCAAAGCGCAAAGTGACGCTACAAGGCAAGGTGTCGTCTATCCCAGCGCTGATGCTTGATGGTCATGAATTATCTGTAGTGAAATGTTTCACCTTCTTAGGTAGCTGCGCTTCAAATGACGGTAGCATAGCCAATGAAGTAACCGCCCGCATTTCCAAGGCTCGAGTAGCTTACGCGGGATTGAAACACCTGTGGTGTAGACACGATGTTTCGTTGAAACTGAAAGGTCGTGTCTACTGCGCCAGTGTGCGACCAGTTCTGCTCTATGGTTGCGAGACCTTGAATTCGCGCGTGGAAGATATTCGTCGTCTTGAAGTATTCGACTGCAGATGTTTAAGTAGTTTGACGCGGGTTGGATGGAGCGAGCGTGTAAGCAACTCTGAGGTGAGGCGTCGCGTATTTGGTAATGATTCGATGGAGAATTCGTTGTCCCATCGAATTCAGATTAGTCGGCTCCGCTGGTTAGGACACATATTACGCATGCCCAGCCATCGTCTGCCACACCGCGCCTTAATCGCAGCTACGGCTCCAGGTTGGAATAAACCGCGTGGTGGTCAACAGATGACGTGGAAGCGAGGCATGGAGAAGTGCACAGAGCGATTAAGTAGAATCAGTCTCCCGTCTTCCAGGTTGGAGTCCAAAAGACTCTACAACTGGTTGGCTGGAGACATTAAAGGATATGGCGACTAACCGACAGCAGTGGCGCTTTTGTCACTTCTTAACAAGGCAGAATGCTTGAAAAAAGGTATGCATGAACACTTAGATTGTGTGCTCCTTGTTGAACATAGAGGTTCTTTTTCTTTGCCTCCGTCCAAGTAGGCCCAATCCCTCTCCATCTTGTGCTTTCTCACTTGATTTGTGTACATTGTGAGCTGGGCAGAGATAAGTGAAGCTCGCTTCACTGTATCTCGCTGTAGGATGATGGATAACAGTCATGGTAGAGACCAGTCGACTGAGATGGTATATACGGACGTGGAGATCTGGGGTATCGACAGCGTGAATAAAAGAGAACCCTACTGCATAGTTCACGGCTGACAAACTAGATTTTTTGTCTAAAGAGGACGGGGACTAAAACCGCTTTAGCGAGTCCTCGAGAAGGATGACTAACGGGACAGATCGGTTCCCAGTTGTANTGCAGAGGGCTTCCTCGGTTTACAAGCGGCTGCGGGAACCCGTGACTTCGTTGAGCAACTTTGATGCTTTTTCATTCCTTATAAATGGTGGCCATATTCGGCCACCGATGTTGAAACAGCGAGTACGAATCCCTAACCAGGAGACTCGATCCCGTTAGGCTCCCTGGCTGGGGACCCCGGGATGATCGTAACCCATGGTTAGAGACACTCAGCGATGTGGCTGAGCGTCGTAAACAGTAGCGTTCGTGTATCTTCTCAGTTTCTTTACAACATTAGTTCCCTGAACTTATCCATTTTCTATTCGACTCCTCATGCTTTTCCCAACGCGCGAAAGTGCATCGTTAAAGGTTGTTGTGGTGAACCAGACTTCCGTGACCGCATTCCGGGCACGACTAGCTGCAGCTTCATGACATCGAATCACCGTTCATGAAGCTCGGCCAATGGTACACTGGGTGAACATCCGGGTTAGTGTATATGATGCGTCGGCGCAAACGGTTACGTGATTGGACGATGGTCCTTCGATCAAGCATATGCCCTATTACCTTCCATAAAACACGTTTTAATTCTATCAGTAAACATAAGAATTTCTGCTATCAATTCCTCATGTATTCCATTGGTGCCCGCAGTTCGGTTTGGAGCCAATTCAGTTCTGAGTAATACGGTACGGGTTCTCGTATTCCTAAATTCAGTACTATTCCAATTATCACAATTTGGCGTCGCGCAATCGAGATTCCTGCCGTTGAACAATGGAACCTCCACGATAGCCCATCGGAAATCGAAGAATGGATAGAACGTCTCGAATTATGGTGCAGCATCCGGAAAGGAATGCAAAATCAAACGGTTCTATTTTTAACGTTGGACGACCGAGAGCTATTTCCTGGTGAAGAATCTAGCGTTCCCGAATGTTCCTGCTGAATTGTCGTTCAAGAAGTTGAAATCCCTATTGCTGGACCACATTCTCCCAGTGGATTTTCAGGCCAAATTCAACTCAATGATCGGACCTGCCAACATGCCGTGTCGTGAATTCATCCTTCAGTTGAATAAACAGGCGTCAAAATGCAAATATGGTGATCGATTGGAAGAACAACTTTGAGATCGTCTCATTACTGGAATCAACATCTCATTACAACGTAATATTTTGGAAAAGAAAGGCATCACCTATGCTGAGGCTAAAAAAATCCCATTCCTACATTCAGTACTATTCCGGTTATCACAGTTGTTCACACTGAAAGTGTTGAAAAAACCGGGGACGCAGTCAGAAGACTGTTATTGTAGTACTGGTTTATTTACTGAAAAAAACAAAAGTGAATAAATAATAATGCATAAATAAGGAGTAGTCTTCAATCATAATTGTCCTGACAAAATCAGTGTTTACTTTCGTGCTGACATAGTACTTACTCTTGATTGCTTCGCAATCGATCCTTATTGTTGGTTGCGTATTGGCCATCAGGAAGTGGTAACCGATGGCTCCATAACTCGTGCCATCGCACAGAGCGTTGGATAAGCAGATGAAATTACTTTTTTTCGGCCATTCTACACTGATCATTTCATACAACATACCTTGGTGGACAGTGATGTTCGTTACTAAGCGAGACAAGCTCGGTAACCGTCCCCATTTCCGTCAAGTTGGACTTAACCTCTACACATTAAATGCGAGATGTCTGCACATCACTGCATCCAGTGTGCCACGGATGAGCGTAGCACTGCACTGGATTGGAATATAGAGACACATGAAAGCTGTCCAAATTTCTGAGAGCGGTCAGGGGGGAGTAGCAGGTTATAGTTTGGTTTGCGCTGCCAAAAGTGGTCACCCTAGCCTATTTATTCACTCAGGTGGGCACCTACTCAGTTGAATAAGGGAGTAAAGTTATCCGAACGCAAAACACTAAAGAGGTCTTGTGGTGGAAGTCAGTCACGGAAATGCAATGAGCACAATAGAAAAATGGCATGGGATTTCCCGTTATACGCATTGTGATAGGTAAGCGTTTATAGATGTGTCTTTCATCTAAATGCAGTCGTGGTATAGGGGGTGGAAATCGGAATGTAGTAGCCAGAACTCGGATCGGACTGAAAACCCACAGAATAGCGTAAAGTCAGGCAGAACGAGTGTACAGAAATGCATACCAATAAATATTGCAAGGACCAACCATCACTGATCGTATCTTCAATGTCTAATCGATAAAGCTTTGGCGTATTTGCTTGCATTGTTGCATTCAGCCAATCCGATTGGGGCTACTTGAGACTACCGGATTGATCGGGGATTCTGTTTCCTGATTGGTTACCTGGAAGATGTATCGTGTTGTGTGCGTACATGAACCCTGATGGCCACAACAGTGCAAAGCTTTTCCACAATTTTTTTTTCATTGGACTTTTCAGAAAAATCTTCTGTTGAAAACACTGAAGGATGTCTCATATTAATTGGCACTCATATTCTCAGCGCATAGCTGACTGTCCGAGTTGCACAAAACTTTGGATACCTGAGCTTCTGGTGCCTCATGAGACCGAGACAATTTCAAATTCAAAATTCCTTAGTTCCGTAAGCAATCAGATGAAGTTTCCGCCTACTTCTGCGTGATACGCACACAAACAGAGAACGCATTAATTTTTTATTTATTACCTCACAGTTTGCACACGACTGAGTCAAAATGGTGTCCATCAAGTCATGACATACGAATCTTGGTAACGAAGAAATCAGTTCGTGAGTTGCCCGCAAGTTTGTTTAAACCAAATTAGGTGAAAATCTCTCGAAGATTCACAACCAGAGCGCTAACGGTTTCACAAATTTCTCAACTCATTCTGTTCTGCATCGCACAATCCCACAGGTGATGTATCCTCGACAGCAATGTCCACCAGCCATTCCACGGTTGACCTATCTAGGTCCCGTGATAGAAAGTGAGAAAGACGAGGAGTGCGACGAACCGCCACCGGAATACGAACCCCCGGTTGAGTTACCAGCATATCCCGGTTCTCCAGTGCATCGAAGTCCACCGGTAAACTAATGATGCTTTTCGTATCTGCTTTGTTTCCCAGTTGTCACTGACTCTCACAAACGCATTTCCATTTGACTTTATTGGCACATAAGCCTGCTATTTGACTGTGAAATAAATTTTGATGTACGCTCTTTTTAGCAACGAAAGCGAATAACCACGCTAGCATACGCTGAGCAGAAATCATACAGAGACCTGTACAAGTGACTGAATCATTTCCAACCTTTTAGGAGCATTTCGCAGTGAAATCTTGAACAGTTTTGCCCCCTGTTCTCGCTAATAGGTTCTCCTTCAAGTGTCTTGACCGGGCATTTATATCCGACGTGGAATTAGCACGAGCCAGCGTGTAACTTATCTACCTTGTTCATCGTCCATGTGCAACCTGGACGAGCGTGCGAGTCCCACGGATAAAGTTTTTACAGCAAAATCATTTCACCTTGCTCATTCCTCAAGGGTGTACAAATAAATACGCGCTGACACCTGAGGGAATCTCAATGACATCGATGGCCACTTACAATGTCTACGGAAAGGATAATAAAATGAGGAAATACTAATCCTAAACCCCGGGAGGTTAATTCATAGGCGATAAACAGATGAGGAATGTAAACTTACAGCTACCGGACTTGAACACTAAATGATCATCGGACTATTAGTTCAGGTATAAGATTGAAATTGTGATGTTTAGCAGCAAGTCAATGATAAACAGCTCTTTTTCGGTGTTTCATTGACCACGTAACGGCCAACAGAAAATTGATCAAGTTGAAATGCTGTTTAACTGGCTCTGAGTCATGTAAAGCCTTTAATGATTGGACGAAAAGTTCCCTTCTCACTTCAGCGTTACGACGAACCAAGGTCGATCCAAATTGTATTCGCGAGGGACAATGATTAACACTGGTAAGTTACTCGTTCTACAGTATCTTTCATCTAACCATATAAATGGAATCTGACCCTTTCTAGTCGGAATTACAAGAGATAAGAAGGCACTACCCCGCGGGGTAGTCTTTAACATTGGTCAAGTGATTCAGGCTGGGTGAAACACGATTTAAAGAGCAATAATTTGCTTACACCCTCTTGGTTTGATTCAGTGAACACATAAACAGTCAACTTTCCGGAAGCTGCTCGCATCCAGATATGGGCTATGGTACTGACGTCGATTGTCTGCTGCACGCGTGAGAACCAGGCTGGTTGTGAACCCGGTCAAGCTTGCATCGACCACATCTTCACTCTTCGTCAAATCCTAGAACACGGACATTCCTTCCGTAGACCCACTATTTCGATCTCCCTCGATCTGAAAGCGACTTTCGACTCAGTCGACCCCTCAGAACTCTGGCGCTGCCTCGAGAAGTATCTCAATATTACAATCGCTTTATACTAATAACCGAACCCAAGTCCGAGCTTACGGCACTTTTCCGCCTAAGCTCACTACAGAAAGTATTCGTCAAGGTTGTCCTCTCCCTCAGCTTCTATTTAACTTCGTGATAGATTTAATTCTTGAAACAGACCTATCCTCCTGCGAGGATAGCGATATCGATCTACCTCCAGGTGGCAGCCTGTCTGATATAGAGTATGCAGGCGACAGTGCCAATAAGTGAAGATCCGGGTAATTTACAAAGCTTTTCTGAATAGGCTATTGTAGCCATGTTTGGTATGCGTTCTGCACCTCCACAGTGTAAAATGCAGCTATAAGATTGGGTTGGTCCAGTCCCCAACCTCACTGTGACTCGGGAAGTAGAAGTAGGCAAATCTTGCTATCTCACACTGCGGACGCATCACAGATAAGGTGTCAGCGCGTAAACAAAAGGCTCGGTTGGCATTTGCCAACTTGAGACATTTGTGGCGCCGTCACATCTGGCTGTCTGTGAAGGGTCGAGTATTCTGCTCTTATATCCTAATCGGCGGCCAAAAGTGCAAGGTTAAAAAATAAACTGAAGAACTATATTCATGGGAAAAATTCCGCATCGGCACACCTAGAAAAAGTTTTTGTCCTGATACTGTTCAGCATACAAGTGGGTGTAAAGAGAAGCATCGCGTTTGGTTTCAAGAGAGCTTTGGCATTAGGATCGTTTTTATTAGAGAAACTACTGGACCCCGGTTGGAAGATTTAGTTCAAAATACTGGGGAGCAGATGTCGGAAACATGCTACTAGACTACTATGGACTGAGTCCTGGGGACAGGTGGTGGAGTTCGACGTTGCTTTCATCAGTGCATCAAAAACACCCCATTCAGTTACATTGGATGCGATGTTCGCTGGGACAGGTAGTGGGTGAAAATAGTCAAGTGTGGTTAAGCTAAGACCTGGTATGAGGGTATGAAAACCCCAACCAGAAGTCTGGGTCATATAGGTCCCGTTACGCTCCTTGGATGGGGACCTCGGGATGATCGTAATCGATGGTTGGAGACACGGCTATGTCGTAAACAGTAGCGTTCGTGTATCTTCTCAATTTCTTTACAAAATTAGTTCACTGAAATTCCCAATTTTCTCTTGGATAAAACTTCTAACCTCGTGGTCTTTCTCCTATTGTTCATCCGAATGGGCAACCAAAAGACAGAAAGCAAAAACGGCGCACAAAAGTGCATGGTTAATGGCTGTAGTAACTGAACTGAACATTGGATGCAACAATTGACATGAAATAAGTTTCTGAAGCGGCTAACATTCCATGATCGTGAAAGCCTCTCGCCTGCATCAACTAGGTTTCCATTGTAAGTGAAACCTTGAGCAGACCCTCCAATCTTGATTGTTGGAAACACGTCAGAACGAACCCCGATTTCAATGTTGTCGGAAAATAACAGGGAACTACTGATACCGACTGGCTAAAATGGGTATTGAAATTCGGAGGCAATTGCCTGAAATGCCGCGAGACTTCAGAAAAAAATTTTTTACAGTGCGACGAACAGAGGGGTCACGAGGTTCTGCTGCTCAGTGATAAAAACCGGTGACCCAAGCGCCCTGTTTTGGAGATGCGAACCACAGAAGGCTCCGCTGGATTTCGTGCAGCGCACACTTAAACAGATGAGCCACTCTGATAGCTCGTTCGGTGGATTCTAATGAATTTCAAGCTCACGCGCCACTCGGTTTATTCCATTAGTTGGATGGGTGATTGAATTGTGAAACGATCAGCGTTTACAGTGTGGCCTCACGGCAAAGCTGGTAGATCGTGCACTGTACAAAAGCGTAAGCGGTGTCCATGTGTGGGTCTCAATATCACCGAGGTTACTGAACTATCCACAATTCGAAACTAAAAACAACTTGGGTCACAAAGGTTGTTTCGAAAAACAAAAATAATAATAATAATCAGTACTTTACTTCCTTTTCAGAATCGTGAACAATGCACCACTGAGAAGTATCCGTTTGGCCCATTGAAACCAGACATTTGCTTAAATCTGTTCGGACGCGAAACCATCACAAAAACAGTCAATCTATTACTAGTGTTTTGCGCCTTTGTAACCGTCATTCACATCCTGTACACCCTAACAAAACAAAAAACTCATACTTTCAGTTACAACTTATAACCGACACTGGGCAGGTAAGAGCACAGTGCAATTTGTATGGGTTTTGCTTAACTTCCGACTATATGTTATTGACGCGAACCGGCTTTTGCGGGACACAGACGGATTGATAGGGTTTCATCAGCAGTACAGTTTGTACATCGACACCCGACTGTACACCTCTAAAAATACTAGATCGTCTATAAAAACGTGTAATGGCATAGCGCAGAATCCTTGGTTAACCTTCGTTCCATGAGCGCGTACGAGGTAGATAATTGCTCCATAAACTTATGATTCACGGCTCAGGCGAAAAGGCTGGGTCGTTCGATATAGCGCCTCAATATTGATCAAGTTACTGGATGGCAATTACTGATGTATGTACATAAATCGTAGACACACACGATATCAACTATTGCGCAGCTCGGTTTTGCGGTGGTCACCTTTCCGTGTAACATTAAATCGTTTACAATGTTTAAATCAAATAGAAATCAATCACGATTAATCTAAATTGGGGGATGGACCCCAATACGGTTAGAATAATGAATAGCAAGATTAGAGAAAAAAATTTCATGAGGTAAATAGGTATACAAAAAGGAGTGATAGGTGATAGGAACAGTCCTCATGAACGACCAGGACAAGCGACTGGATGTAGTCAATACCAGATGAAAAGACGCATGGGCGTGGGGCATATTACAAGACCCAATGTGACTACTATACGAAGCGCGCCAGATTAGGTGATTCTCAAAGTAGAGTGGAGTATATATAATTTGAATGGGCATTCCTATGTACACAAAAAACGACGGCAAATGCAAGTAGGCGGTCGCGACGGGAGGGAACCGGTACAGACTGACTGACTGCACAAATAATCACATTAAGTTACTTATGTGTAGAACGAGCGAGAAAACAAATGAGAAGCAATTGTGAACGGAATTGAGTGTCACCCAATGGGATCTGGTGGTGATGAGGGGATCCGGATTCAAGGTGTCTCCGATCCAACTTAGCCCGGGGGGAGGGGAAGGACACAGGAAGTGGAAATAAACAACAGCACGATTGTCTGTGGTGGTGGATTTGTCAGAAGAACTGATTCATTGAACAAATGAGCAAGAAAGAACAGCAATAAAATATAGAGGCCAGGTGATGTATGTACATGTTTTTCGAGAATGAGACAGGACGAGATGGGACTCTGAAATTTCCAACAAATCATCGGCAATTCCCAACTCTTGAAGGCCCTTAGTATGAGATGATGATGATGGAGATAAGAACGGAGTTGATCTACGACCGAGCGTGTTCAGTCGGGTAAGGCGGAAAAACAAAGCCAGGAACTGTATGGGGTGAGATCTAGGATCCGGCACGTGGGATATAACGAGTGATTTTGAATGAAGGCGGAGAGCAAATCCGGATAGCCCAGGGTAATCTCATATACGTGGGTATATCAACGAGAATGAGGATGGTGTAGACCATAAGCCGGGGCTAGCGGCTACTCGGTGGGTAAATGACAAAAATACGGAACTAGCCGTCTGAGTATACCACACAGACGATCATTCAAACTTGGTGGCCACAGCCAGAGATCACATTTTTATAGCAAGATTACTATGAACATCACTGTGTTCATTTTACGAGCGTCTGGTTCCCATCAGCCGATCATGCTCATGGTTGGATGAATGGAACTCGGAACGGTTCGATTCAGAGCGTGTAGTGGATAAATCTGACTCACGTGATCGACTAGATTCCTTTCGAGAATGATGTCGATAATGATGATGTGGTTGATGAGTGTGA